AATATGAGCAACCATGTTCACGTATGATTTTAAAGGAGTACTAACCTCCAGAATGAAGTGCTATTTTCCGATACATAATGCTGCAATGAATACATAACTAGCCAACTTTTTACATAATTTCGCTTGTACGACTTGCGCGGCGCATGTTTGTAAAGTGATATTAATATCATTTTCCCCCATGCTGAACCACAATTGATACATCCGGATGTGACTAGGATGTGTCCCCACAATCATATCTGTGCCTTGTGAAGAAATCGACAGTTCCGTGCTGATTTTTTATCCGGACCTGAAAAGTTCTGTTTTTCTACAACAGTCCCCTGGGTTTAGCAAATCAAGCAATTCACCCATCGTATTTTTGGCGCTAAAAAGAGAGAATAGTGGTCCAAGAAACATTTGCAGTTTGCTTCGTATTTCTGCCAGTTAACTGTGCGAAAACAAGGCGCGCTGAATTGCGATTGCCAGCTCGAAATAGTCCCTCCTGGTTTTGACAGCAACATCCTGTCAACAGCCTGAGATTTCATGTGCTGAAAACAGCATTGACGACAGGGAAGCGAACAGAGGAGGGGCCTGGGAGGAAAACAGGATGCACAACTGCATAACATACTACATGTACTTTGATATCGTCGTACTTTGATTTCTAGAAAATGAAAATATTAATTACCGGAGAGCCAAACAGGATGACATAGAGATGGACAGATGTCATGTCACTTTTCTAGAAGGAAAGAAAGATAAAATACTTTTTCTCTATTTCCCTCCAAACAAATAAGGTCAATGACCTGGACCAGACGTCTGTGATAATGTTAACTGTTGCTGTTGCTGTAGCTGTAACATACACCCTGTGGTGTTGGGTTACATTATGTAGCAAGTGCTAGACCATGGTGAAGGTTACCATTCTGTTAAACAATGTTACAGTCTCTAGTTGATACTATATCGGTGACTGTATCTCGGGCGAATGCTTTTTTTTATTAGATGACAATGTTTATATTGTGATCTCATTATTTCAAGCAACCTCGGTCCCTGAATAAACTTTTATTCTACTCCGAAAAGAAGCATGTTGTTATTCGTTAAGTCATGTCATTTATGTACAAGCTGTTAGTATACAGCGGACGCAGGGTGTGTGGGGTGTGGTCTGGTACCCACTCCTAACCATAGTTGGCGGGCGTTCGGCTAGCGTAAGGGAGGCCAAATTTGTGAATGTGTGACAGGGGCTTGTAGATAGAGTAAAAGTTTACCATGAAGTTAGGAAAGAAACACAAACTTCGCATCTACGGAAGCAATATGACACAAACAAGC